TTTTTAACGTTACCTGATGCTTTGTCTCCACATACTACACAAAGATCAAACATTTTATTTGGTCCTTGGTCTGGGGAAGAATTATCTGTTAAGAGCTAAAGAAATAATAATTTGTTATTACTCAATACTCTGAGATAAAAAATTAAAAAACCATTAAATCAGTCTTACTTTTTGATGTTATTCTAAAACCTTGAACTATTATTATGCATATAACAATTAAGCTACTTGTAATTTTCTTAACATATATAGGTAAAAATTTCAATGTTATAAGAAGCAAAGACAGAATACCTTTTTAATTTGTTCCACAATTTCATTAAAATAAAGACATTTTAATGTTAAACACAAATACATGAGTATTTTTAATGCGTCTCATTAAGCCCTTATTTTGCATATGGAACACATCAAATTACTGCAGCAGTCATCAGTCCTGTCATGACATTTGTATTCGAATGGCTTAGAACCTTCCCACGTGGAATGACATGATTTAAATATACCATACCAGTATAAAATATAAGTCTGAATTTTCAAATAGAAAAGGAATTATAAAGAAAAAAATTTTGTTGATGCATTTACTTATAATTATGGAAATTGACATACAAAGGTGTAAACTTTTCATTAATTGGTTGTCTCAGGTTTGGGTTAGGTTTAAGTGGTTGAGACCACTGACTCTGGAGAATAAGTGGGCTTAGGTGGGGTGGCCTAGGGTAAATTGCTAGGCCTCTTTCGATTATATAAAGGGCTCATCACTATGTACGGCTAATATAATGCTGGGAAAAAAATACTAGTTTCTTCTTTTAGGTTTGTCCTTCAACCTTTTCATTGTTTTCGTTCAATCTTTTGAAAAGTAAACAAATTAAATCCAAAAAATGTGATATAGCATTTAGTAAACACCTCCCCCTGCTTTAAAACAACCCACAAAGTAATCCACTGCTTTGATTCTTTCTCTTCTCTTAGAGGTATGAATGCCTTCAGGAGTAATTCTGATTTTAAAAACTTTAAACAGTTCTTAAAATAGCTGTCCTTTATTATTTTATAGTGGCATCACTTCTTTTTATATCACCGTAAAAGTCTTTAATAAAAACTTAAAAAACAGGGCCGGCC